GGGGCCGGGACTCCTGCTCTCGCCCCGTCTCTTACCATCAATGTCTTCGAGCAGGCAAACAAACAAAAGATTGTTATTTTCTTTAATTGCTGGAATTGTATTAATTTAAATGGATAAACTCAATCAGTGAAGCTCATTAATTTCTAGCACATGGCTTATTTACGCTGATTCTGGCTGCTCGAGCACTCATTTCGCTATCATAGGAATGTCAATTACCTTTTAAAATAAAAATCAATGTTTATTCGCTGTTAAAGATAAAACATGAAACGGTTTCCTTAGACGTGCTGATGAGCGCTCTCTTCCCCAGCCCGATCCGAGGGCTCCCGGCGTTGGTCCGGCTGCCTATCGCCGGCGGTGTGCCACGGAGGGGATGGCAGCGCGCTGGCTGCCCTGCAGGGAAGGGACCACCCTGGGTCCCCACACTCGCCGCAGCCCCCTGCGCCTTCCTACCCCATCCCGTCCGGGAAAGGCCAGCGTCTTCCCAGGAGCCAGGTTTGCAGCGGGGTGTTTCCCTGCCGTGATCTCCGCTGATGGTGGTGGAAGGATGGAGGGAGGAAGGAAACCCAGGGGAGCGCAGGGGGAGACCCTGGAAGGCAGCTCCCATGCATTACCTGATTACTTTTATAATGAGGAAAAAACAAAGCTAAACCCTTGAAGCAGGGTGCTAGAAATTACCCATCATTTTCAAACTTTTTTTTCCTCCTCTATTATTCAGAATTGTTTTGCTTTTCTGAACTGCCTTGTGTAGGTTGCAACAACCCCACAGATTCCAGAATGGGAGATGATGAGTCACTGTCAAAATGTAGATTTTTTTTTTTTATTATTTTTTTTTTTTCTTTTAGCAATGCTGAGGGAGTAAAGTCTCTGTGACACACGCCGATCGCCAGCACCTCGCAGGCTAAAACTGGCAGAAGCTCCCAACCCACCCATGGGTGTGAGTACCCGGGTTGTGCCCACCGCTCTCCTCCGTGGGGATGCCCATCACGGGCAGCGTGGAGCTGGGTGCTGCTCCCCAAGCCCCGCCGAGCTGTCGGGGATGCAGTGGGGGCTCAGTTCTTGTACTGCCGTGCATGTGTTCAAATGTGCCTCGGCGTCCAGCCAGCACCGGCACCGCAGAGCCCACCTCTGCCACCTCCTCACTGTTGCGCTCGTTTCATTTGGCTTGGGGTTTTTCCACTGTTTTTTTCTTTTTTTTTTTTACAACAGGAAAAAAAAAATCCTTCAGAAAAGGCATATCTGTGTAGGTGACTCTGCTCAGACACAAACCACCACCGCAGAGAGGGGGAGAGAGTGTGAAGTAGAGATGGAGCCAGATTACGCCAGTACCCTGGTGGGAAGCTGGTGTGGGGCTGCTGGGGCGATGGGGATGTGCCAGGGGGAGAACTTGGTCCTGGGGAGGAGGATTCATCCCGCTGGCAGGCGGTGGGGAGCTGCTGGCTACAGAGAGTAACATGGAGCAGGGGGGGGTTAAACCAACACACAAGTTTTGCCTTAATTTAGGCGCTCTCCAGTGGAGTTTAAGCAAACAGATGCACGTGTAAACCGGTGACAGCCTATGGGCTGACGGGTCACAAAACCAGTTTGATGGCAAGGAGCGGTTGCTTGTGTGTTTCCCTGAGGTTTCCCTGGCTTTGGGAGGCGAGCAGACCCCTTCCCAAGGCGGCTGGATTGGGCAGTGTCCCTGGCTCGAGCAGCTCTTCCAGCTGGGTTGCTCTGAGCCGTGGGTCTGCGGTGTCTGTAGCCATCCCACCGGTCTTCGCTGATGCTTGTGTTGACTTTGAAACTGGGCTGTATCAAAGACTTTGCAATGCGGGAGGCAAACAAGATGCTGGGGGGTGGCTAGGACCCCAGCAGCCCTTCCTGGGGACATGGGGCAGAGCTGATGCTCGGTGCCAGCGCCTCTGTGCTGGCTGAGCTGAGCCCTGCGCAGTGGCCATGGGTCTCTGGGTGGCGGCCAGGTCTAACGGGGACCTAAAACCCCAGAGCTTTGCAATCTCACACCGGGGACCTTGTGCAAAGAGCCCCAGGATCCCTCACAGAGCCTGAAGCTGGAGAAGGGAAGGAGTAAAGATGAATTTCTTTCCATCTCTCCAAGCATCTGGGAGGTGGGTGGGAGGTAAAAAAAGATGAGCCCTGAAGTTTTAATTCCTCGGAGATATTTAGGTATCTTGCTCTTGTTACTCAAGGGAGTGCAGAGCCTGAGCATCTCAAACGATGTGCCACAGGCTCGTACCCCAGCACTTGCCAGCTAAGCTTGGACCTCTGATTCTCCAACGAATATTGATTTTTCAGAGAACTTAAAACCATAATGACCCCACCACTTCCTCCAAACGGGTTTGGCGTGACAAGGTCTCTTTAGGAAGGCCATTACTGTAAACCACAACATAGGAGATAACTCGCTTGAATTTATGGGGAGGTGCGGAGCTGAGGGCTGAAAAGCCCCAGGACTTCTCCTGCCTGAGCCAACCGATGTGAAGGGAGAGAGGAATTTGGTTCTTATTTAAGAACAGTGTTAGCTCATCTTCCCAAGCCTGAGTCTTAGTTTGCACACTGAGCAGTAACAACCAGAATAGTCCCTGAATAACTGTTCCACTGGATGAAAAGTAATGAGATTTTAAAACCATAACTAGAGCTCTTTAGTCTTCTGGCTCTTTGGGTTAGGATTGGTATTCTTAGCCATATTTCCAGCGTCATGAGACTCGTACTTCCCTCGCAACCCCCTCTCTGCCCCCCGCCAAAGCCCTCCCTGGGGAAAAGAGCTCCGAGAGGAAAAAGACCTGAGATCAAATCAATTAATTGCCTTTGCTTTCTCCAATAAATGCAGTGCAGAGAGTACGTACATCGAAATACGAATGAACTAAAGCAGCAACGGCAAAACCCTGCTGAAATGAATCGTTACCCTGTGTAAGGCAGCCCTTGTCTGGGGGAGAAGGGGTGACTCGCAGGAGGCAGGCGTTAGTCACGTTATTTAACGTGCGGCTCGGGGATGCTCTGATGTGGTGGGGATGAGAGGGATTGAAGAATCACGCGGAGCGCGGGATGAAAAACAGCCCCGCGGGAGGGGAAGGGAAGGGATGCCTTTACAAAACCAGTGAATGCAAAATGTGTTATATGAGTTCATCTCTTCTAAATTAAATCCAATGTTACCTAAAAGGCAGGGCTCGCTGCAGTGAGCCTGGAGCCGTTGGGCGGGGACACCCTGCAGGCACTGCGTGGCCGACGGTCCCATTGCTGCGTACAGTGCTTACATGTGGAAAATGCCCTGGAAGATTTGCCAGCTGGAGAGGGCTTCCCTGCAGTGCCCGGGGATGCTTGGGGTGCCCCGGGATTAACGTAGGACCATTAAATCGAGAGGCTGGTGCAGAGTGTGGATGGATGCTGCTCTGCTGCTGGCCGAGGGTTTGTGGCAGCTGTGAAGGACGAGGAGAGAGGTGGCACCTAACTGATGGCAGAGCTGGGGTTGCCGTGGCAGGGTGCCCCCAGTGCCCCCCAAGGCAGGAGGGTCAGGGAGAGGCTTCCTGTGGGGCTCAGCTCCTGGCTGGGCCCCTCCAGCCGCTCCTCCGCGCGGCACCCGGCC